TTGACGTGCTATGAGCGACGGAGAGCGAGCGCTTCGCCGTCCGTTTCGTTGTCGTTCCGTGGTCCGATTCGATTCGCAGAAACGCTAATTAGATGACTGCTGACAAAAGACAGAGGCGGAATCATATCATTGCTGTGGTCCACGTACCAATTAGTTTCGTGGTTCAAGAGTCATTGTATGCATATGACAAAATATCCCGAGCTGCATTGCCGGATATTGTGATCATGTTGAAATTCCGAAGATTTTTTAAATGATCCCAAAAAACTCAGAGTTTTAACAAAATAGAGGAAAATCGCACTGTAATTGTCCATAGATGACGTCAAAGATAGCTATTTATAGTTTACTCAGTTTTCCGTACCCGTACGCGTATAATCGTTGATCGTTGAGTGGCATTTTTTCGTTAGTTTTTTCCGTTGCATGACTGTTTATTGCTTTATTATTGTTCACAATTAATTGTTAGTCTTCAACTCTGTCTAATTATTAAATGGTTATTCCGTAAACATTAAGGACACTTTTGTTTTTTTCTTGACTTCAGAATATGTATACGTATTTACGAAACGAGCAGGGATATTCCGTAGCTTCTAAACTGAGTATGATGGTCACGAAAATACTAAAATAATTACACATTAGGAACCTAAGTCATGTATGTTTCGGAATGGAGTTACGCACCACTCCACCACCACTAAATAGATTTTAAAAACTTAGCTTTCTACCTCTCTCATAGTGGATAAAAAATGCGTTTGTGATGCCTGATTTTACTACTGACCGATGGGAATTAACATTTCCTCCTTTGGCACAAGTTGGACCTATGAGAAGACTCCTTTGAAATAATAGATCTAATGAATTTGGTCACCTTCTTGTAAAATGCTTCACAAACTAGTGAAAAAATATTCGATTTGTGTATGATAGGTTCCTAATTCTCACATTAAATCAAGGAATATGGTACTTCATATATCGCATGATTCAGCTGCAAAAACCTATTTTTTATTCGTTGCCGCACACAAAAGTTGACGCAAACTCCGTCAATCAAAAATAAGGATTTGTGACCTACTTGAACCATGGATAAAACCTGATACAGTAGATTGACATGGTCCCATTACTGAGCATTTTATTGAAAATAATAGTGTCTTGCTGTACAAAGTTCTGCTTAATAAATTCTCTGAGGAAGTAGAGAATGATTATTCCTCAAAAAAAAAGTCAATTTACTAGACTACTGTGCTAAAAACCCTGTTTCTCAAGCCAGCCCTGTCACTAGGATGACTATGCGATCACGTTGCATTATCGTGACGGTGGCACGGCTAGATGTAATCGTTCTACTGCCCAGTAGAGGGCGCGAGAGCTCCCTATCAAGAGGGCTGGCTTAAGGAACAGAATAATCATTCTGTAATTTAATTTGCGTTCTCAAAGGATTTATCAAGCAGAATTCTGTACAGAAATAGAAAGACGCTGTTATTTTCATTAAAATGCTCATTTAGTTGCTGTCACATACATCTAGATATGGTATCAGATTTGTGTCCATGCTTCGAGCATGACCCAAATTCTTCTCTTTCATTGATGCATTTTATGTCCGTGGCCGGTAATTTGGGATCCGGACGCGAATAAAAAAAATAGGTTTTTGTAGCTAAACCAAGTGATTTATGACGTATTTTTTGATTTAATGTAGGAATTAGGGGCCTATCTCACAAAAACCGTATAATTATTCTCTAGTTTGACAGCCATTTTACAAGAAATCGACCATATTCATCAGGCCCATTACTTTAAAAATGCTTTGTCATTGGTTGCATTTGGTAAAGTATTTGGCTAAGTAAAATCAAGCCTGGCCGTCCTAAATGGTCATTTACAATGAACCTAACGAGTTTATTCCATTGCTAAGCAACGTCGTATCAGTGTGTTGTTTGGACTATTGCATTTAATACTGCATAAACAGAAACTTTTTATTTAAACTGTTGAAAACCGGCGGACTTATTTCACAATTTACAACCCATCTCTTTTGGCAACCGAAAAATATTTTTCAAGTTTAGATCCAAACTGATCCGCACGGGTATTATGTAAAAAACCTGTAAAACGTTAAAACAACCTATAAAATGTCATCCTGCAACTAGGTAGTTTTTAGGGTGCAAACACTCATTCCACATTTGGTCACTAGGATCATTGTAAGCGTCCGTCTATGGAGGAATGACTCAATTACACGCATTGTTGGTTGATTTTGTTTGGTGAAGCCGAGTGGTCAGTAGTTTTCAACTCTGAGAAAACAGTCGGTTGAATAGGATGATTATGTGTATTGGTCTGCATGTGTATAAAATCAGTGATATTTGCTGTGTGAGAAAATGATTACTGAATATGCTGTCAATGAAGTATATCTATTAGCTGTGTTCGACGGGTTAATTATTTGTTGTCCTTTCTGAAGACAGGTTATGTTCAAAGTTATAAATTACGATATTTTACATTTTTTGTTATCAAAAACTTTGAGGAGAATTACGCGAAATCACCGCGCCCACGTTGTAGTATACTGTTAGCATGTATACGACTTGTAATTCGATAGTATACAGTGAATATAATTATTTCTTCTCACTCTCTTTTTTGAAATTCGACAAATTTCCTTAAGTAATTTTCAGAATGGATAAGAAAAAGTGGATGCGCAACTAATTTCTGGATTTGAATCTCAAGTAAGTGTATTTGAGACAAGAAATATTAGCAAACAAATCCTCACTATGCACCTATGCATTGCCGTTTCCTACTAGCTATAGTATACAACTTACAGCTGAGACCTCCAGTAATGCCATTTCTGAAGCAGGTTTTACATCACATCAGAGCCAAACCTTGGTAACTGAAGCATCATGACGTTTAGGCAACACGTACAACTACAAAACGAGTTCACAACATGCCCATCAACTAGTGCTAAGTTAACAACTTGTATAAAAAGCTACTTAATGGCACAAAAAAACAATACAATGTCAAAAAAAATCGAGAAAATGTCACCTTTCAAGATGCGTAATATCCGTGCCGGTCTTGGATGTTTTGTGATCACCACCACTGGATCATTTTAAAAATGTACAAATCTTTTGCCCTCGTATTTTTTTCGGACAGTTATTGGTCTCTGACAGTTCCGAGCGGTAATTTAGGATGGACTAGATCAGCTCAGAGCATTGCTTGTCAACATATAATTAATTTGTTCGGGTGTTAGTACTTGATTAGTACCAACTAACCCATCGAAATCCTAGCGGTAGGCACTTTCCAAGTTATAGCGGATCAAGCACTTACCAGAAAGATACGTCAACTGACGAAAATGGGTAAACATGGTTTTTCACTATGAATATGAACACGTGCACATCATTCAAATATATCACCTTGATTTCGGAATTCCGATTCGAAAAAGCCCAGAAACTGACAGATCCATAACTGTGGAATGCAAGGTTGAAGTTCCACTGTAGGCACGAGCATTTTGGGCTTTAGTCTAAATGGTGGCTCAGGTATAAAACAGTGTAAAAACATCCCATCTGTGAACAGCGTGGGTCCGTGTGACATTACATTCATGTTTATTGCGGCCGTACATATTTTCAATTCCGATTCAAAATATCCCCTAGATATTAGAAATTGTCTTTTAAGAAATCGCCACTGGATCTTCTAAAGCTGTTCGAACCTCTTATACATAGATTGAATGAAGTCTCACATCAAAATTAACAATGTAATTGTAGTCAATGACATGGCTCGTAAGAGCCTGGGTTCTCCAGGGTTGGGTCTTAGGACCAATCCTTTATTCACTTTATGTACTCGTATATGACGTCCCTTGCTGCAGCGACCGTAAAGTTTATCTGCATGCTGACGAAGTTGATTTAGTAGTCCAGTCGCGTTTTGATGACGATAGGCTACATGATGCGGTCGAGAAAGTATTGGAGTGGACGAATCTGTAGCTGAACCCTTTGCACAATTACCAACGCTCAGCGATACGTGCCGAGACGGTTCATAATAATCCCGAAAATGACATCTAAGGAATTTATTAAAAAAACAGGCACATCGGCGTTATAATCAAGCGTAATGGCACAGCAACCTTCTGTTGCGTAACTCAGTAAACAACACGGTCAAACAAGTTCGCAAACACTCTAAGCTGCACTGTGATCAAAGGTAAATCGGAACTTTCCAACCAACTAAATGTATTCTTTACAAAATACCGATCAAAATTATTTTTGGAACAACAAAATTACTTAAGCATTCAAACCAGCAGTGCTTATGCTTTTTCCACTCGAACTCATTTACTTGTTTTCTTTGCTCTATTCCTTCGTTGATTTCTTTTCCTCTCCGCTTTTCACATATGAACTTATCTGGTACGATCTGCTAAAACCAAAAGTTCGCCAATTTTGCACTATAAAGATTAAACATTGCTTTAAAACAATCTCAAAATACTTTGGAGTCTTTTAGAGTAAGGTTTTAGCTTCAATTTGGATACTTATAATTTTTAACCAAGTTTTCAAACATTGAATATACCTAGTTTGAGGGCTTTTCGGCCATTAAATCGCATATAACTCGAAAATGAACAGCTTTATAGAAAAGTGAACGGAAACCTTTTTTAATCGGAATTATCCAAAAACCGAAAAGAGTCTGAGCGGGCAAAAAATTGTAATTTAAAAATTGTTTAAAAAAATTTGATCTGGGTTACCGCGTGGGTATATTCAATGTTTGAAAACTCGGTTAAAAATCATAATTTTTTAGGTCGCCAAGTATCTAAATTAATGATAAAACGTTGCTCTACACGACCGCAAACATTGTTTTGAGATTATTTTACAGCTATTGCAAACTTGATTGACGAAAAGTGGCGAACGCTTGGTTTTCACAGACTGCGTATGGGTAACTAGAGCTGACATACTAACCGACAGATGAGACTTTTAACTAAGAGCAAGAGCTCTCCGGATCACTCAGACGAACAACGACGAGTTGCATACTATTGCGATTAATCGGATCTTCGAAACGTAATAAGGATAACTATTAGATAATTCTTGTTTCAGACCAAAGATGACGAAACGGCCCTCCATTGTGCCGCACAATATGGACATACGCAAGTTGTCAGCATACTGCTCGAACATGCGTGTGACCCAGGCATTAGAAACTGCCGTGGGGAAACGGCTTTGGAACTTGCTGCCCAATACGGAAGGTGAGTTGAAGATATCATACATACTACGCCGGTAACCAGAGAATGGGTGTCTATACTAGTAATATAGCTTTCGTTCATCATCCCACAACTTGTGGCCATGCCGGAAAATCCTCCGTTATCTGATATTTCGTTAAATGCCAGACTGAAATGAATTCAGTTTCGTATGCAATTCAAAGAAAAATAAACTAGATTTCTTTTTTTAAACTGAAAATATATTCATGTTATTTAAATGCACTAATGTATATCAATGTTTGTTAGATACCTTTACCTAGATTTCACATCGTGACTATAAACACCACCGTGCTCTAATAGAAATTTTGCAATTTTTGTCATCTCCTTACAGATTGGAGACTGTCGAACTACTCGTTAGGACCGATCCTTCATTGATACAATGTCTGAAAAGGACGACTCCAGACACCGTGTTTCCCCATACTCCTCTGCATTTAGCCAGTCGAAATGGCCACAGGTAAATATGCGCATCAGTTCATCCATTTTTTAATACAATAGCCTTGAAACTTTTTAGTTTGCTTCTTCAATGACGCATCTGGAAACTTTAATGTGGGTCGCCCCCTTTGACTTCTTTTATATATTATTCTGATTAGACTAATCTAATTACAGGTCAATATAATGGAAACTTAACTAAAATAGTGTGCTTACAAGAATCACATAAACGAACGTAAAAATAGCTATTGTAAAAGTCCCTGAAGTTTGACAAAATTATACTGATAGCATCGAAATAAATGTCAGGACTGCCTATTAGGGTATTATAATTATTATAGAATATAGCGGTGAATAAAAAATACGTTGGCACGGGTGGCACTGCAATAAAATGTTAGAGCCCTTTTCGCGGTATACAAAAATTCAACCGCTGGAGAAGCTCTGGTGCATCCTCTTTGTCTTGCAAAAGCTTATGGAGGTATGTGAAGGTAAGCAACGAAACGTTGAAACGTCGCAGCAGAATAAATTGATTGAACCTCCCTTTCTGGATGCCATATATGTACATTGTACATTTTCTACAACATTTATGTAATATGTATAGAAAGGGTTCCATATCAAAGAAGCGTACTCAAGTTTCGGTCGCACCAGCGGAATAAAAAATAAATGATAGTTTAAAAAAACTAAAGACGCGCTTTTGTAGCTTATATAATGGTAGATCTTTTCATTAGTTTAGCTCATTTTTTATCAAACGCAAAAAGGTAGCTCATTAGCACAGCTTGAAAGGATTTTTTTCGTAAATAGTTACTTTCTTTTATTCTATTGAACGATTTTACTATTAACTTAATAAGTATAGGTCTCCAAATCAGCAAAACAACGCACTGCTAACTAACCAAATTGTATAATCAAAAATTCATGACATGTATTAATCATTCTACCCAATGAATACTTTTTAATCTATTAAATGTTGTTGTTGTTGGCAAACTTCATTTCCCTCAATTGTTTTGCGTATTACATTTTGGAGATGCGTTACTATTAAGGGTCGGCCTTACATTGTTTTCCAACTCGTTTCGTGTCGCTGACTGTGTATTATAAACCTGGTTTTTGATGGTTCCCCATAAATAAAAATGTACAGGTGTTAGATCGGGTGATCTAAAATTTAAATTAACAAATTAATTTCGATAAAGATTTTGAATAAACGGTTCTGCGCACTTAGGAGGCTATCTAAGTGATCCGTTATTTCCGATCCAGGTTTCCCTATAGGTATTATTTAAATAAGATGATATCTCCCGCGTGTCATGGGGCGAAGCGCCATCTTGTTGATAAAATATGCCATTTTTATTTATCAAATACATTTCTTCTGTGAAATTTTCACGAGAAAGAAATTGCAAATAATTTTCACTTTTCGAATACCCTTCAAAAATTATGGGGCCTAGAATCCTGTGTCCTAGAATTCCCATCAAACAATTAAAACCAAACCGTTCTTAGAAATTTCCTTCTTCCATCAAGTGCAAACCTTCTTTGGACCAGTATCTTTTATTATTTCTGTTGCAAACGCCCAAATTTGTAAAGAGACTTTCGTGTGTATAAAGAATTTTATAAGGAAAAGTGTTGTCCTCTTGCAGCGGCGGCTCGTGGCAAAATAAAACAGGTGTTCTACAAATCCGAACTTACCTATTTTTTATATGTCAGTTCGATCGTGCGCTCCTTCTTGGCAGCAAATTTGGCGATCACCTTCCCGTTGAAATTTTCCATGGTCGAAATAAATTCCTTTTCGATGGACAGCATCGACAACGCTGTAAGGCGATCCTGGGTTATAGTATTTCGAAGAAAGGTCTTGATTCTTTTCAATGTTGAGAAATTTCGCTCAGCCTCTGATGTTGACATAGGAGTTGTAATAATAATTTCTAATAGCTTTTTTGTTTCTTTTAGTGTTTCGTCCAAACTATTTTGTATCCAAAATTTCAAAAGAGACGAGTTCCATGTAAATCTCGGCAATCATTCCGTGCATAAATAACAGACAACTCTGTCTTTAAACGACTTTTTTCTAATTCGGGACAACTCAGACAACTCTGTCTTTAAACGACTTTTTTCTAATTCGGGATAAGCCAAGCAGGTAGTTTCCAACTAGTCATCAGGAAACTTACCACAGTATTCTCCAAAGTGTTCGGGGAAAAAAGGGATGCGGCTACCAAATGATCTTTGAATTAAAATCTGTAATTTGCAGAATTCACTACATTGTCGCATACTTCTGATGCGGTAACTCGGTGATCGTGACGTCGTCTCCTTTTGTTGCCTTGGGGTTCAGTGCAAATACTTTTGGCTTCATTTATTATGTCATCAATTTTATTTCTCACATCGACAATACATTTTTCAAAATTATCGATAGCCGTTTTAACTTGCGCTGGCTCGGTTTTTCTCTTCTGCAACTGGTTGAACAAGATCTCGACGTGAGGCATGACATGATGAAAAAATGTCAACCAAACCGCGAAAAGAAAATCGTTTAACATACGGCGAATACCGCAAGCTGCCTTGCAAACGGTTTCATTAGTGAAATTTTCTTCTATGTCTTCCATGCATTTAATGAGTGATTCTCTGTTCTCAAACACTACATTTACTGTTTGAATATTAAAATTCCAACGAGTTGTTGCTCCTTGGCGAATTTTTTCCCCACAATTCTGTTCAGTACCTCTACGCGTTGAGGAAAAAAATCCCGGAATATCTTTCAAATCCCTAAAGAACACCCGAACTTGAGCATTTGCAGAAGCAGCTTGGGACATAATCAGTTTTAACTGATGCGCATAGCAATGCACATAGTGAGTAAATGGATATCTTTGTTTAATTTTTGCCTGTACTCCAGCATTATGTCCGCTCATTAAGGCGGCTCCATCATAGCTTTGTGAAATCAGTTTGTTAGGGAAATTTCCTATTAATGGATCTACGACGCTCAAAATATGTCTTGTGAGAGTATCAGCGTCACATTTTTCGGGATTCATATAATTCCAAAAAGGTTCTGCTGGTTCGCCGTTAAATACATATCTGAAAATTGTTACCAGTTGGGTTTTCCCCGAAATTTGTGGTTTCATCTGCTATTATCGCCCAATACGAGGCTCTGACGAGGCTCCTGACAAACTTCAAGAATACAATCCAGTAGATCGTTTTGTATTTCTTTCGAAGTTCCTTTAAATATTGAAGCATTTTTTATGTGTTCGCTTAAGGTTGTATCAAGCTCAGCAGACAAATTAATCAGTCCACGAAATATTCCCGGGTTTTGAGAGCTCTCGGTTTCGTCGTGGCCCCGTAGCGCCAATTCAATTGCTCCGCAAATTTTATACGATCGATTATGTTTGATAGAACGTACCTGTTTTTTGTAACGGTACCATTATGCTGTTGTATATTTCTCCAATATGCTGAATCTAACTGAGCTCTGATGTTAACAGTCCCCAATAAAGCCAATTCCATCGAATTATGAAGATGTGTTTTAGAGACAAGACCAATATGCCAATACCGGGCACCTACTTCGCACTAGATCTGTACGGATCTGTATAACTTGCAGCACATGGTTATGGTTAAATCACGCATTTGATTTTGTACAGAGAGACAAAAGCAAGCGCGTGCGGCTTGTGTCGAGGTAGTGCACCGACCCTTTTCAAGTGGCCCATGAATAATGTTACGCTGCGGTCGCGACGAAAATGACAAGTATACAATTGGTCGACTATAATGCTTTCTGAGTACAAAACAGAATCGCCGCCTTGTCTTGCGGGGGCAGCGTTGCCGGTATTGTTTCTATTTGTGTGATGACATGGAAAATAAATAATGATTAAACTACTACTGCTTTTTTCTGTTAAGACAAACGTTTTGGCAGTTCTGCAGCTTTGCCAGCCGCCCCTATCCTCTTGGTATTTTTGTAAACACTTTTAAAGTCATCATTTTCAGCATCATCATTTTGATTGTCGCGCAACTTCTATTCGTCATTGTCTGTCAGAGCAGTCTGCAGGACCTTTGCTTTTGGTTAAAGTCTTATAAGTCACTAGGTCCGCCAGATCTGGTTGTCCAGATACCAGGGGAGAAATAAATAATGATTTGAAAAAAACTAAAAAACACGCTTTTATATCTAACCAAACTAAAAAGTAGAAAGTAATTTTTTACAAAGAGTACTACACTTTCATAACTCTCCTCGCCTAGATAGTTGCCATTTAATTTAACAAGCACCCCACGCTTTTTACTCTGAATTGAATTATTCTGTTAATAACTTAAATTTCATTATAATTATATGACATGATTGATGACCATATACTACTGTAATATAAATTCATTGTAATTAAAAATTATTTTCTACTTTCCAGTTCGGTTAGCTATAAAAGCGTGATTTTCTTAGTTTTTTATTTTTCATTTTTTAGTTTGATTTATCAATTAGTTTTTTTTAATTCATATTCGTTATTTTAATCAATAAGACTTTATGATCAGAAATTCTTTGATCGTATTAACTTCCTTCTTTATCGACTGTAAATTCAAAGCTTTGCTATTTACCAAATTTTGTTCCGTAAAATAGATAGATTGAAATTAATGTCCTGATCATTTTGTTGAATAAGAAGCCTTTTGTGAGTCACGGTTATCATGTAATATATTATATGAATATTATAAACAGTAATTCACGTATATTAGACTCATTAGAACCTACGCATGTGTAAGGAATGAACAGGGTGAGAATCCACTACCTTGAAAAAGTATCTGCCTCCGTTGTACTGTGCCGAGTGCTCCAACCAACAAAGAGTAAGTCCGAAACTGCACGCATGCGCAGATCGCGCGCTATATCTATCTCTCTTATTCCCCTACACATGATCTATAAAATAATTTATCAATCCTGGCAATAAGGATAATGGAAAACTGTTATCAAATTATTGCATTATCATCGGTAGTTGATACGTGTGCGAGGTTTCAAATTAATCAAACTTCTGGAAATTGGTAAAAATTACGCTCAAAGATTCCGTCACATACATACGTACATGCCAAGCTAATAAAAGCGTGTTA